GTCCCCTTTCTCCCAGAGTCCGCACCCCCTACGGCACCATTAATAGCAACCGGACTGGTCTGCAACCCCCGTGGGTTTTCCCCCAAACCCACATAACCTCCCCCACCCTCAGAACCCCTTAAAAGTCTATTTAAAAAAGTCTTTAAAAAACCCCTCAATCCCCTTTTTGCGGCATGCCACCTCTCGGAGTCCCAAGATCCGTCATTAAGGTGCGCCCTCGATAACATAGAGGGCCAGGCCTGCGAGAGGGGGGAGTCTCGCAGTGCAAGAAGCTTTGCCCTAGAATACATTTTAACACTAGAGTGATAATACAAGTTTGGCCTAGACATGGCCTACGGGTTTATAATGATGGTTTCAAATGTCCAGGAAGCAAGACTAAGTTAATCGGAAGAGTCACCATTACCCTCTCACGGTAATGGGTAGGAGTCCTCACGTTCAGTCCAGCTGAGGGAAACTATCCAACCACCCTCTCACGGTGGTTGGCCATCCTAATCAAGGCAAGATGGAAAAAGTCAGAAAAAGTCCGAAAACCACCCTCTCACGGTGGTTTGGGCTTCCTGGCCCTGGAAAGATGAGTCCCATCCGTGGCGAACGAAGTCTGGAACTGGCTCCATCCATCCTCCCGTAACTGCCTTGTCCTCCATACAGCCAGGAGACAGGACGAAAGACAGAGCCAGGTCCCAAGCTCTTAGTCCTTAGAGAAATAAGATATACTGAAGAATAAGTAGCAAACTACCCTTGCAGTTTTTTTTCTCCCATTACCACTCCCACTCCCACTTTTTTATTTTTTTTTTAAATTCATATGTTCAGTAAATATACAGAACAGATCTTCGCAACAAGGATGCCATCAAATTGTAAATTTGTATGTGACAGAAGCAGAAATTACATGAGGAGTAATTATATGAAATTAAGTAATAATATAATTAAAATGTAATTTCAGTAATATTAAAGTAATTAAATTCATTTAATTTCAATTTCAATTAAATCAAATGTATTATTTGTCCTGCTCCTTCTCAATTTCTTGCCCTACTCTACCTGTTTTTTGGAAAGGAATTGTTCTAATTTCATTTTAAATTCTATTTTATCCATTTTAAATGGTTTTTATCAGATTTTAGTAATAATTTGTGTCTGGAACTCTGCACTTTGATATGGCCCAAGGGCTAATCAATAAAGTAAAGGAAGGTAGGAAAGGTATTGTGTACTGTAGTCTTTGCACAAACATGTGAAATAAAAGGTATTTGCTTTTGTTGTGGATTGCAACAAAATATACATAGAGACAAATTAGGGATGCCCACCAGTCTCTTTAAAGCTGCTTTGCTCAAATAGCAATGTGATTAGTTTGCTTCAGATTGTTCTGTTTCAGTCTGTTTTAAAACTTCTAACACTTGAGAAAAAGGCTCAAAAGAACTATTTTAAAAACCTGTTGTAGAAAGAGAGATATTCCTTTTCTGATTACCCTCTTACCAATTGAAAAGAAAACTAATAGGCCCTAAGGCATGCTGCCAACCCCATCCTTTATACCTTTCCTCTGACTTAGAGTAAATAAGTCTACTAAATCAAGATTTTTCACAAATACAAATAAATCCATATTAGCTCTATTATAAGACTCATTGAAGAAATTTTAAAAACAAAGAATAAAGTAGCAATAAATTAGACCGTAGAAGTAACTAAAATCCTATACTGGAAAGTTAGTCTAATTAAATCAATATACTGAGAAGTTACTGAAATCAAATACATTTTGTTGTTCATCCTTTACTCAAATAATTAGGGACTCAGAAACAACTAGGAATAAGAACAAAAAACATCTGACTTTTCAAATTATTTCATTTCTGAGTAATGAACTACAATACAGACAGAGATTTGATAAACTATCAAAATAACAATATTTTGGAAAATATTCAGTGAGTCATAATGACCAAAGAAACAGTACATTAACCTTTTTTCAAACATTCGTGAATATTTGCAAAGAGATATGACTGGGAAATGGTAAGAGACGATAGAAAAATGGAGCAGCAATTCCAGCCATATTAGACCTTTTAAGTAGGGTTGGCCAGAGGTAAGCTAACAAACCCTTTTTCCAGCTGGCTACTGAATGTTCCAATTGGATATCTGGTTGGAATTGGTTTTATTTAGGTACGTGTTCAGAGCTTAATCTGTGGAACTTGGTCCCATGAACAATGCTTTCTAGTTTTGAAACCCAGCTTGGCTCAAGATAGCTGCCTTTAAAAGTGACTCAGGCCTCTAAAGTTGGGTCTTTTAGGACTGAAAATCCTAACTGGCAGGTGAAAGAAAGAGGTACAGTCAGTAGAAATAATGTGTGGCTCTGATCACTTGACTTCTTATTTGTAAGCCTATGTTAATTGAACTAACTAGATTTAAGACACCACTTTGTTACTGAAAGAAAATTGCATCCAACTGATAACCATGACAAAGAAATAAACATCACAAATATATGTATATGTACACACATGGCCTGGAAAGTCAGAATTAAATCAATTTGCATAAGAAAAACAGAAACAAACAAGGCTATGCAATATTGGACAGATAATTAATCAGAAGTTTTTGCAATTTCTTTACTAATGTTTTAAGACTAAACAGTTTCTTAAATGGAGAAAATGAGAATGGGAAATGATCTTTACATTTAAAAATGAATAGTCACAAAACACTACCCTCTTGTGGCATTATGCTACTATCCGTACATGGGTGATTATTCTTTTTTTTAAGCACTGTAAGCCTTTTAAAAAACTTTGTCAATATATATCAAGTAGAAAGTAATTCTTATATTTAAAAATCTGGAAGAACCCTCAACTATGTCATCAAGTTACAGCAACATATTTCTTCAGTTAATTTCTCTTTATACCATATTTACAGAATATCATTGTGTTTTAGGCTATGTTATTTAATAAGTTCATGTTTGACAACATACAGACTTACCCTGGCATTGGTCCATTTCCTGAAAGGCTGTAAACCTGACGAGGATTCAGAAGATACTGAAATTTCCTATAAATTCTAGGGTTGAGGATAGAAAAATATTTGAATTTTATTGGCAACAAAATATGTTTTGGCAGTTCTACCACATGATAATATGTTGGATTGAACAAAGTCACACTGCATCCCACACTATGCTTACCAATGTTAATATTTCAGGATATATAGACGGATGAGCACATTTATTCTGCATAATTTGTAAACATGGGCAAAGTCAAGTAAATAAGATATCAAACAAGAACTAGTTAAGAAAGACCTTAAATTCATTTCTACATGATGTACTGTACTGCAAACTGCTTTTCAAATGTTAGCCATTTCAAAATCTATTTGCCATACATCAATAGCCTACCAAGTTGCAGAGCACTTTAAATCTTGGCCCCGTCTATGGCAAAGATAGCATACCTACAGACCCTTGAGCCTTACACCTTCACTTTTGTTATTGCTGCCTAAAATTTTGCTCAATCAAACATTTTGGAATTCTATCACTAAATGAACATTTCTCTATTTTTACAAATCTAAGAGAAGAGTCACAATTTAAGGATTCCATAATGATTTAAACAGAATTGAAAGACAGCTTATAGTTCATAAATATTGCTTTCAGTATAAGATTTTTTTGAATTTGGTCTTATCTAGGTAACACCTGTTGAAGTGTAGCTCCCTTGGAAGTAGCAGAATCAGAAAAGATTCTGCTACTAATATCACTGACTGTTTTGCAAGAATCCACTTTCATGTATAAGACAAAATATGCAGTCATGTATTACAAACACCAAAGTGTAACTTTTTTGATCCCTCACAATGGTTGGGCCAAATGTCTGGGACATTTTTGTTTCGAAGGCTTCAAAAATGAAGAAGATGGGTGTATAAGGCCTGCAGAAATTGAAGGCAGTCATATTATTACACAAAAAAGTCAACACAAAATTTTCTGAAATTTTTTTAGTTGGAGTGGAGTTTAAGAAGCAAAATGACTGTCTTAAGGTAAAGGTAAAGGTTCTCCTCACACATATGTGCTAGTCATTCCCGACTCTAGGGGGTGGTGCTCATCTCCATTTCAAAGCCAAAGAGCCAGCACTTTCCAAAGACGTCTCTGTAGTCATGTGGCCAGCATGACTAAACGCCAAAGGTGCACTTTCCCACCAAAGGTGGTTCCTATTTTTCTACTTGCATTTTTTATGTGCTTTTGAACTGCTAGGTTGGCAGAAGCTGGGACCAGTAATTGGAGCTCACCCTGTTACGCGACACTAGGGATTCGAACTACTGAACTGCCGACCTTTCGATCGACAAGCTCAGCGTCTTAGCCACTGAACCACCGCGTCCTTAAGCTTTAACAAATTCAAGAGACCCTCTTTTTCCAAAATCCTAATTGGTCCTGTCCGTTCTTGTGACACTAGAACATCTTTGACTGTATTCCATAAACTCTTCAGAAGTGAAATGCTTTAAAAGGCACAATATGTGATAATAAGTGGGTGTTCAAGCATAATTGATGTTTTACAAATGTATCTTGTATTACTTGAGATCTTTTAACCATATTTCTTTGTTCTTTAAAAGGCCTCATCAAAATAAATCAAGCATTTGATTGATCTTTCTTAAACAATTCATACGTGTACAGGTAGTCCTCAACATATGACCACAACTGAGCCCAAATTTCCTGTTGTTAAGCGAGTCAGTTGTTAAATGAATGTTGCCCCTTTTTATGTCCTTTCTTGCCATATTTGAAAAGTGAATCAGTACATTTGCTAAGTTAGTAACATGGTTGGTAAGCAAACCTGGCTTTCCCATTGACTTTGCTTATCAGAAGATGCAAAAGGTGATCAAATGACCCCAAGAGACTGCAACCATCATAAATATCAGTCAGTTGGCAAGCGTCCAAATTTTGATTATATGACCATGGAGATGCTGCAGTGGTTTAGTGTGAAAAAAAGTCGTAAGTCACTCTTCAGTGCCATGCTAACTTCAAACAGTCACTAAATGAACTGTTGTAATTCAAGGACTACCTGTATAATATTTGAATATAAAAAGATGAGGCTGGATCTCTTATACATTTTACATCCACCTATACATTTGCCAATGGCTGTCATTGGTTAATGTTAATTAGATTTTAGAAATTAAATGTATCCATTATTCCTAGTCTGAATATGGTCCAGGAAAAGAAAGTCAGGTGAGTGACTTCCTTTTGGATGTACTGTAACTATCATGACTATTGGAGCAGACAACTGACACAAGCAATTGCTTGCAATTTTAGACCAAATCAACACATCACCCTAATACCTGTCCTTTTTCCTTTTTTGTTTGAATGAGAAAACGGTTGGTTATTTTAAGCTATTACTTTTTTTTTTGCTTAATAAAGCCTTCCAAGGAGAAAGTTTCTGTAAGATAACTAGAAAGTTACAAGATGGTCCGCATACATAATGTACTTTTATATCTTTTGGACAATGGGTTCAAGGAACCAGACAACTGAAAGCTAGAATTCAGCAAGAGATTTTAAATAAAAAAACACAGAATCATGGTAGACTAAATAAAGTAGAACAAAATAGTTAGGTAAGGTTAAAGTAGCAGTAGATAACTAAGCATTTCCATATGGGCCTTAGTTAATTTAAAAAAGACTTTTTCAAAATCAGATTTCTGGTGAAAGGTATCTGTTCTTTCCCTAACAATCTTCTAGACGAGAAAAAAGAAATAAAGAAAAAAAGGAGAGGAAATGAAACTATGCCATCTTTTTTATTGCTTACTTTACACACAACACACACACCCATGAATATGCAATAGACCTCCCAAGAAATAATTCTTGTGATAATGTGATCCTGGACAAGGAACAAGGAAAAAAGTCAAAGGAATACAGAGATCTGTTATTAGGAAAAAGAAAGAATAATAGTAAGAATATAAACTAAAGTGCTGATAGTTTATCTAGCCTTTAGATAAACTATCTATTCTTCCTTTAAAAGGAAGACTGCAGAATCAACCAATATTTCAAGTCATGGAAAATATCAGAACTAGAAAAAGGAAAGGTGGCTGAAATTGTGTCATAACTGGAATATTCAAAAGGAACTGAAAGTCCAGAGAAGTCACAAATCCAACAGCATTATCAATTGAGCTCCAAAGATATTGAAACATAAACCCTAATAACCACAATTAGTTATAATTAATAAAGCCCACTTATAATGGAACTTCATAACTGTAGTCATAATATTTATTTTATAGGCTATATTTAATGTGGTCTATAAAATAAAACTGCTTCAATAAGCCATGAGTTTACCAAGGATGGGACATTTTTCAATTTGAAACATATTCCAAACAAGAAAAGGATATAACTGTAGGTAAATAAATAAATGTAGAAATAGAAACATAACCCAATTTAATTAACAAATTGGTCATAGTTCAACATCATTTTATTATTAACATTGTTCTATGTAATTAGCGTTAAGTAGCTTTGGAAAATAAAATGTAAAATACATGCATTCATTTTTCTTTCTATTCAAAAAGTAATTAAATGAATTGGTTTTCTTCCTAAATCAAACTGAGGCAAGCCCTTAGAAAGATTATCAAGAAACACATACCTTTCTCCTTGTTTTCCTCCACTTTTAGGGTTAACAAAAACTAGAAGTGGTTGAGTACCTGAAACTGGTGTGATCTAAATTTAAAGAATTCAAAGAAAAACAGTTCAATTTTCTTCAATATTTTATATTATATTACTAATGTAAACATACACACTAAGCTCTCTACGCATACGAATTAGACCCCTAGGCAGATGTGTGTGTGTGTGTGTGTGTGTGTGTGTGTGTTTATATACCACATAAATTCTAATCTGTCTCTCCATATATTTTCAATTAGCACATCTATTTATGAAAAGTCAAGAGTATTAATGAAATATATTTCTAATAACCTTAATTTTAAGAGTGTACCTAAAGATTATTGCTTTTCATACATCCTTGAAGTATAACTTCTAGCAAATTGATTCTTCAGAAATGTAGGCATCTACCTTTTTGCACCAAATATTAAACAATACACAATTTTGAGCATCTCCAGTAAAATATTTTTGTCAGAAATTGAACAGATGTATGTTGCATGAGTAAACAGCAAAAATATCCTCTATAAATTTTATTCTTGAAGTTCCTAGAATCAAATCAGACAATCCAAGAGCTTACAAAAGATAGGACTTTTTTTGTTGTTGTTGTTGCAAAACAGATCTGCTTTTACTAATGGGTTTACACACAGTTTTGTCTATGTTAAATCCAAATAAAAGTGGAAGCCCTGACTTTTTCTGAATAAGGAAAAAACAAACAAACAGGGAATTCTGACAGGATTCAGTGAGCACAATTTGGGCAGTCACTACATTGTGAGAGGAAGATCTATATACATTTCTGCGTAGATAAAATCACAGTCTTTTTCAATAACTATCACATCTTTAATGCTTATTTAGAAATGTAATCAATGTTATTTATTTAGTTTAATTCCAGGATTGTTTATTCCTGTGAATGAGGCATAAACCAGGGGTTCTCATTCTGACAAAGATTGACTGTCTCTTAGAACTCTCTATGGGTTCAGGTTAATTAATGAGCCTCATCTTAAGCTTATACATGATATATTACTTCCTCTAATTAGAAATAATAAACCTGATCATTATGCTGGTTAAGCTGGAAAGAAATAAGATGAATGTGCTTAACTATGATTAATAACAGTTGCACCTAAGAAGTGATCCTCTCTGCCACTGAGTTGCCTGCATAGTCCTTTATGACTATGCTTTTTAATATTTTTTGTACTAAAATCATGGATAAAATATTCCTTCCGTAGTGAATATTATTAAAAGAAAATATATTACCTATTTTTTGTATGTAATGAAGAATTGGCAGAAGAGAAAATCTCAATTTATTGCAAGTTTTCTAAGCAAAATTTAAATAATTAAAATATATTAAATAACTTAAACAGTGGCAGATATTCCAGAACTTAAATCAATCTTCATTTAATATATTACCCTTTATTAAAATGGTTGTAGAGAAACATAAGCACATTATATGTTTGTATAAGATCTTTGTGTGCATGTGTGTGTGTGTGTGTTGTTATTTTTTTTTTGTTCTTTTTCTCCTTTCTCCTTTTTCTACTTAATCAAAGCATTAAAAAATTTAACTTGTTCTTTTTGCGTGTTACAATGAGGATATTACAATATCTATACCCATGATGGCGAACATATGGCACAGGTGGCATGCAGAGCCATATTAGTGGGCACGCCAGCTCAGCTCTGGGGCGCATGTGCGTGCCGGCCAGCTGATTTTCGGGCCTTCTGGGTCCACCAGAAGTAGGGAAACAGGCTGTTTTCTGCCTCTGGAGGGCCTGGGGGGGGAGGCCCGTTTTTCTTTCTTTCCTGGCTCCTGATCCTTTCTATTTATATTAGGTATGTTTCCTGATTCTAAGGCGATAATAAAGATCAACCAAGAAATATCTATTGCCTTGCTGTCCATGTCTGCAAGCTTCCTGAATAGACATTTGACACAGAATAATAGACTTTGACCTAAACTAAATTTTATTTGGTGTAATTCAGCAGGACATAATTTATATTCTAATGTGATTCATATCTTAGTTGAGGCCCTATTTTACCAAGTATTCAACATCCAGACAACAGCTGGAATAAATTAATTGATCAGAATGTACATGCCAATACAGCTGTGAATGAAATCCATTAAATAATTTACCTTATTAGAAGTAATTAATTAATAAGTTTGAAAGCAAGATGTTCTACCAATTTTGAAAAGCAGGCATGAAAGTCCTGTGCAGATGGCATTCCTAGAAAAAGAACTATAGAATCTGCCAGATCTGTTTCACTGTGTACCATTTATAAACTATTATAAAAAATGTTCTCTCTAATGTTAGTAGTCTATATTTCTAACAAAAGTTCCATGGAGACACCTGGAGGTTATTTTGTTCTTTAAGTACAAGAGAATAATGTAATTTTATAAATAATGTTATAATTAGACATATGGCAAAAATATTATAGGTACAAAAGCCAGCCATTCTTTACATTAGTATCTACATTTTTAAACATGCCACCAATATTTTCAATACAGATCTCATATATGCAAAATCATACAGTTATTCTTTTGTGAACAAACTCAGGAAAGTGTTTTAGAAAGTGAAGATGAATGTTCATTGTATAATGTGATACTGCTCAGTGTACAGATGCCATGCTTTTATCTGTGATCCAACTGGTGACCAAATTTAACTTTCATTCTGTAACTATAAAAAACATTTTAATAGTAACTATACAAATACTTAAAAATGACAATGGCAAATCAGACCTGAAGACCTTGACCATCAATAGTGAGAGAATTTGCTCTCTGCACCTTGCTTCGATCAGCTACTTTGTTTGTTTGTTGACAGCTACTTCTTTCTTTTTTCATTGTTGCTTGGCGTTCCTAAAAAGGAGGTCAGAAATAATAGATTAATATGTTAAATATGTTACTGGGGTAGAAATGGAAAAATCCCATTCAACAATGATGCATTCAACCACTGCTCCAGTGATAATGAGTTCAGTGATTGCAATCAAATTAAATGAAGTCCAAATTCACATACATCTATTTATGTATCTAGACATAATAGCAGTTAGATAATAGATAGATGATAATTATTTTTTCACAATAAGAACTAATGCAATGATGTGAAATTGGTGATACCATGTGAGGCCATGATCAAGCTTCATAAATAAAATTAATTCGAGAAAGTCTACCCCATTGTCTTGACAACAAAAACACTGAAGATCACAATTGTTTATAATCTGAAATTTCAAAAAGATTTATTGCAATATAATCTCCTTTCAATATCATATAGCACAATTGTGTGTGTGTGTGTAAAATTTGAAATAATTGAGAAGTTAAACTAAAAGCATGTAAAAAAATGATAACAGGTTTTTTATTTTTAGCTTATCTAGAAAAATTAGCAGTTGCTTTCAAAAAACTATATTCTATTTGCAAACCAAGATAGTTTAGATTTGCTTGCCACCTTGGCAACTAAAATAATAGTATCAATGGTAATAACTGGCATTGGCTGTATTTTATCATGTTTTGAGTAAAATGTTGTGTAAAACTGGAAAAAAAATCAAAGTAAACATTGCTGCACATTATTTGATTCAAATCCAGACTTTTTTGGAGGGTTGATCTAACTAGTGACTTCTTAAATTTCATCTCCACAATAGACGTATGCTAGGAGACAGTAGCTGGATTAAAGTCCCTCTTATTCTCAACTGGACAATATGTATGCATCAAAAGAAAAAAAAAGTGTCTTTCAAAATTTTAATTCTTTATTGAAATATCTATAATCTGTAATCATTATATAGTCCAAAGTAGTTCAAAACAAGAATATGAAACAGAAAAGCATTAAATAAAAATGACATAAATGTTAGTATTTTTATGGCTAGAAAGTCTCTTTTTTTTCACAAAGAGATGAAATATAATAATATCATAGAATGGTGTACTGCAAATAAATCTATTTCTGCATTACTACCAAGTCATGATCTGTAAGCCAAGTGATTACTAACAATACTACCACTAAACCTAATTGTTATTTGAAACTAAATCAATCCCAATAAATACAATATGCAGCAATGGTCTTGTTCTGCAGAAGCAAGAGTGCTGCATTAGAGCCAGACTCATAGTGACACATGAAAAATACACTGAATTTCCTCCTTTAGCATTACCAGTATAACAATCAACATATGAACATGATCTAGTCATCTATTCATAAATTCAAGACCTTATATATTGGATATATTAAATCAATCCATTGTAGAATGGAGTCTCTATTGAAATTAATGGTCTGCCACCAACCATGCTTCTTCAGTACAGTTTGAGAGATAGATGGGGTTGAGACAGAGACAGCTTCTGTTCCTGAGGGAGGTTCTGGATCTCCTTGTTCCTAAACACCTTGGTCAATACACATTAATTGATCTTAATACTTCATATTGAAAGCTAATATCTGGGTTCCATTTGGCTGGCTGAAATTTATCAGGCAGCAATTGAGCACAAGAATAATTGACATCAAATCAAAGCAATTCATGTTATTGCTACTCAAATTTCATAAAATATTTTCTATTACTTATTGCACTATGGACTCTAGAATAGTCAGATATCCTGCCTATATCTTGGTGAAGCTCCTTTCCTCTATTACATCTTAACCTTCACAAGCAGAAAGTCCTAGACTATAATGGAACTGTTCTCATTGAAAACAAGATGATCTGTTCTTTTTCCCCCTGTCTTCCTGTGACACAGAGTTTATTATTAAAGCTATTTCTATAAATATAATCCAAAAAACCAGTAATACTCCTATTATAATCAACACAAAAATAGCAGCATTATCTATTTTCCAAGTTAGAATTCATAACATTATTAAATTCAAGGAATATATACGTGAATATAAGGAAATCCTTTCGTTGAATATACAGGGAAAATAGAAACAGAAGTGGTAATTGTGAACCATTTGCAGCTTTTAAACTGGTGCAAGAAGACATAAAGAAAAAGAATTGCTTTTGTCAGGTAAATAATAGCAATATCTCTTCTGCTGCTTTGGTGCTGAAGCAGTATATCTCCCAACTGATATACTGGGATTTCATGCTATTCTGAGTCTGAATGCAGGAGTGGTAGTCTTAAACTGATCCAAAGGACAACAGATTGTAGAATCTCATGCTTTGTCAAGAGAAAATACAAAGTCAATAAAAATGCATGGAACAGTTCTGTTAGAATTTATTCATGTGAACTAGCTATATAGCTAAATGTAAATATATTCTAATAGAAATATGACACCTGTAAAGGTAGCCACAAATCTTGCAGTTTTCTTGGTAAGTTTTTCAGAAACAGTTTGCCACTTCCTTCTTCCTAAGCCTGGCCAATTTGGTGTAGTGGTTAAGGACTAGAAATTGGGACTCTAAAATTTTTAGTCATGCCTTGGGCATGAAGCCAGTAGGATGACCTTGGGCCAGTCACTTTCTCTCAGCTAGGACCAAAGCAATGGCAAACTGCTTCTGAAAAAAAGCTTGTCAAGAAAACTGCAGGAACTTTGTCCGTATAGTCTCCAAGAATCAGACACAATTGAATGGAAGAAAATATACAGAGGAGGAAGTTTTTAATTCTTTGTTCCAGTGATTAGTCTTTTTTTCCAAATTTAAAGGAGAAGAGTTATTAAAAAGCAAAATATACTACATCATAAAAAGCAAGCTTATTGCTTTTTTCTTCAGTTAAGTGCTTTAAAATGTAGCAGAGGAGCTTTCAGGATACACAATGTTCAATATTTCCACATTGGTCCTATTGTCACATGAGGATCACAGATCCTTTTCCTATTACATCCAAAGCAGTTTTATAGAAAAGATCCTGTTTACATTCAATCAAAAGTTCTCCTATAATGTGAAATTACTAAAATTCCATATAAAGGGTAGTGATGCCAATGCTTGTAAGGTAGACAATCAATAGATGCAATTTATATAGACTTCTGTAAAGCCTTCGATTCAGTAGTACACGGCAAGCTACTTCTAAAACTAAAATATTATGGCACTTCCAGATTCCTGCATAAGTGGATAGGTACGTTCCTATCAAACAGGTAGCAAGTAGACAAAATAGGGAACACATTATCTAACCCTGTACATGTTAACAGCGGTGTCCCCCAAGGCAGCATTTTAGGATCCACACTCTTTATACTTTATATAAATGACCTTTGCGATCATATTATAAGCAACTGTGTTCTCTTTGCGGATGATGTAAAACTATTCAACACCACTGACAATGCTGCTACCCTACAAAAAGACCTTGACTATGTGTCAGAATGGTCAAACAATTGGCAACTCCAAATCTCAACCAAAAATGCTCTGCCTTACACACTGGCAAAAAATAAAATCAGAACACAAAATACAAACTGGATGGATACGACTCTGTCAAAGACCTTGGAGTACTCATCTGAAATGATCTAAGTGCCAGAGCTCACTGTAACAGCATTGCTAAAAAAGCATTAAGAGTTGTTAACCTAATTTTGCTTAGTTTCTTCTCCGGTAATATTGAACTGCAAACTAGGCATACAAAACTTTTGCCAGACCAATTCTTGAATACAGCTCATCTGTCTGGAACCCGACTGCATTAATACAATCTAACAAGTCCAGAGATATTTCACAAGAAGAGTCCTCCATTCCTCTGCTCACAACAAAATACCTATGCCACCAGACTTGAAATTTTGGTCTTAGACAACTTAGAACTTCGCCATCTTCGGTCTGACCTAAACATAGTACATAAAATCATCTGCTACAATGTCCTATCAGCAAATGAATACTTCAGGTTCAACCAAAACAATACAAGAGCAGACAATAGATACAAACTCATGGTAAATCAATCCAAACTAGACTGCAGAAAATACGACTTCAGTAACAGAGTTGTCAATGCCTGGAATGCACTACCTGATTCTGTGGTTTCTTCCCCAAGTCCCCAAAACTTTAATCTTAGACTGTCTACTGTAGAACTCACCCCAGTCCTAAGATATCTGTAAGGGCTGTGCATAAGCGCACCAGCATGCCTACAATCTCTGTCCTAATGTTTTCTTTTATTCGTATTCTTTTCATGTATTTATAATTATTTTTACACTTGTATCTGTCATAAAATATATGCTTCACGAAAATAAAATAAATTAAATTAAATCTCTCCATACAAAAGTCCCTCAAATAATCAATGGTTTCTTCGTCTCAAAAGATTGTTCACTGTTTGGTCAGAGAGAACATCAGAGATAGGAAAATGGTACAAATAACATGTCTTCAAACCTACTCACTGTGAGGCTTGCTGTGTTTCAACTAAACTTATTCCTTTGCTTGTATTTATGCAAAATTATGCAGAAAGACATTCACTGAAACTATCTACTCATTTATTTCAACAAGACTTGTATTTCAAGGTATTATTTCTTAATATTCTACATAGTAAAATATATTTTTCATATTATTGATGTGAAAATTCAATTGGAACCTTTTGATATATCATTAAATATCAGAAATGGAAATTCTAAAAGTATGACTGATACTAAAAGTATAATGTATCTCAAGGAATATTGGAGAAAGTTATGCAGGTAGATAGGTTATATTTAGTTATGCAAAAAATATATATGAAAGAATTGATGACACTGCAGTTGTTACTATCCAGGTTTCTTTCTTCAATTTGACACTTTCATAAGATTAGGATATAAAATTTTCAGAATTCTCAACGTGGTCAAGAATTACAGCAATATCTGAATAGGTTTGATGATACTTAGAAATTTATTCTGTTATTTCAAAAGAAAAATAGAAGTCTGCATAAAGAAATAGTTCTATCTGCAAATAAATTGTCCAAAAGCTCTTTATTCCAAAGGTCAGATTATACAAATGCAAGCAAAGAACCATAACATATTAAATATATTACATATCACCAAAAGAAAAACTTATAACAAAGAAAAATGTTTATTATGTAAATAATTGGATTATATTAATTCAGTCTTGATATAGACTATGTACTATCTCTAAGATTATTGCTACTTTAAATTATTTCAATAATTTGAAATTAGTTTCAAATTATTTGCCAATTACCAGTATTTATTTAATTCTATGACTTTGATTTGTTTTGAGTTTTAACTGAAAAAACATTTTAAAAAAGATTAGAATAAATGCACCCAAAGAAAAAGTTTGTAGGATGCAATTACAATGCTTTCAAAATCTTCAAATCAGAAGTTCACAATATATCTACCATTTTTTGCAAGAAGTAAACAAAATCTCAGGGTAATAGTACAATATACTTATATTAAATGGATGTGAAGTTGACATTTATTGAAAATAAATGACACTGCAAAAATGCAGACATTTATTTTCTGAGTGGCATATATGTTCTAGTTATGACTATTTTATTAGGATGTACAAAATGATTGATGCAGCTGTAATCATTTTGTCTCATGGATTTATCCACTGCTGGGTGAAAGTTACTCAATATAACATAGAAAAGCTAATGCATGTTTTGATGGCTAGAAACTTAAGTTGTTGTGTTCTTCCATCTACTTTTAGAAGTATTGTTTATTCCCAAGAGAATACTGAATTCCTGAATTCTACCTTGCTGATTTAATCTTGGAGGACTAACCCTTTCTAATTATTCTACAGATTATCATACATTTTTAAAATAAGTTTCTTATGGACTTTGTTTGCCTTCAAAAGCCTTCCATAACTATCAAACCTATTATCTACTTTTCATTACTGCAGCATAACATGGACTTCAAGACACTTTTATATCATGCAAACATTTTATTATCTATTATCTATTATCTATTTTTCACTTCAATCTCTAATACTGTTGAGATTCAACAGTAGCTAGCTTTCTTTTTCTACTATGAAACTCTATTCAACTGTTAGGCAGAGTGAAACGAATCTCTTCAAAGTGAAATATATGGTAGCATTTTTTTAAAAAGGATAGCTAAGTCCCATACAGCTTTTTCTGAGCCTATTTAAGCTCATCTGCTGTATTCAGGTATAGCAACGAAGAGTAGATAGATAGATAGATAGATAGATAGATAGATAGATAGATAGATAGATAGATAGATAGATAGATAGATAGATAGATAGATAGATAGGGATGGATGGAGATAGATAATGGATGGATGGATGGATGGAAATAAGGAAGGAAGGAAGGAAGGAAGGAAGGAAGGAAGGAAGGAAGGCAACAGAAAGAGAGAGAGAAGGAAGGAAGAAGGGGCAGAGGGAGGGGAGGGAAGGAAGGAAGGAAGGAAGGAAGGAAGGAAGGAAGGAAGGAAGGAAGGAAGGAAGAAAGAAAGATAGATTTGCTAATTTACTTAATTTTTTTTTCTCATGTTGTGAGAGGCAGAATCACTAAAAATGTTGTTGGGGCCACTTTGAATATTTTATTATCATGAATGTATGTTGGCATACATAAAGCAAAGTAATCTGATTGAAGTTGATCTGAACCAAAAACAAAGATTTTAAAGTTCCAAAATGCATCACAACATCCAAACAACTTTCATCTGCATTTGTGAACACTTTTACATTACGCACCTCAGGAAGTGAAACTCCTAAAGGAGGTAGAGTCTGTTGAAGAAAAACAGTTTCAGCTACAAATTAAAACTGTGAAAACACACACACTAATTAAAAACATTCCTGTAAAGGATTCTGAATATGTAGCCAACCTGTTGAACAAGTAAGCAGTTCCAGTATGATTCTCCCATACATATTAAGTAATTATAGAATGATAACACTGGTTTATGTAATTCCTGTTGTTTTCGTATTTATATAAAAATAGCTATTTTCTTAACATAGTGCACAATTTAGCACAAAATAGAAAAGGAATAATTCAAAAAGATCATGAAAAGATGACTACATCATAAAAAAATTAATTAATCTACAAATGTCTGAAAGAAATCTACATCTGAATTTTTGGAAGAATAAATTTGGACAATTTGGAATTCAAAATGTTTTATATAGACACATGGCTCTAAATACTACCTACAAAAATTAGAATTAGGCTAATAATAGTTCTTTGTTGAATATGACCACTAATGTACTTGGTGAAAACAATACATGATCATCAAATATATTGTTTTTAAAGGGAATTAACATAAATGGTATTAGAATAACATGTTGTTCAAATATTGGGGGATTAGACAGCAAATCAATTTATAAACCTCCCTGGCAACCAATCGTGCTTGCATATCAGAGAACTATATTATTCAAGGAGAATATAACTCCAAACACATTTATCAAAGTGTACCAAGTGTACCAGTGATTTTCTCAGCTTTATCCAAAAGGATTCCAACTACTCTTTAAAAAAATAGTTTCTAAAAAATAGCTCTAAGTTTCCATTCATTCCTAAGATTTATTTATTTATTTTATTTATTTTATTCAATTTGTATACTGCCATTCTCCTAGGGGACTCAGGGCAGTGCACAGCCAGAACTAAAACACATACCAATACAAAATTTAAAATTTTTAAAAGAATTACATGACTTTGGCCCAAAATTTAAAACATTCAAACTAAAACCCATTGACAATTTAAAAAGCTAAAAAAGGGTTCACGCCAGCCCTGCTTGATGGAAAAGAAAAGGTTTTAGGGCACGGCGAAAGGCCCGGAGATCCGATATCCTTTGTATCTCCGGGGGCAAATCGTTCCAGAGGGCAGGAGCTGCCACAGAGAAGGCCCTCCCCTCCGGGGGTCGCCAGCCGACATTGCCTGGCTGACGGCACCCTGAGGAGTCTCTCGCTGTGCGAGCGTGCTGGTCAGTGGGAGGCTATCGGCAGAAGGTGGTCCTGCAAATACCCAGGTCCCATGCCATGGAGCGCTTTAAAGGTGGTAACCAAGACCTTGAAGCGCACCTGGAAGACCACTGGAAGCCAATGCAGCTCACGCAGGAGAGGTGTCCTATGGGAGCTCCCATAATCCCCCACGCAGCCGCATTGAGCCAGTTGGAGCCTCTGGGTGCTCCTCAAGGGAAGCCCCAGGTAGAGAGCATTACAGTAGTCCAGGCGGGAAGTGACGAGTGCCTGAGTGACTGTGCGTAAGGAGTCCTGATCCAGAAAGGGACGCAACTGGCAAATCAGGAGAACCTGATAAAAAGCCCCCCTGGCCATGGCCGTCATATGCTCTTCTAAAGACAGCCATGCAGGAGGACGCCCAAGTTGCGAGCGCTGTCTGTGGGGGCCAATAACTCCCCGCCAATAGCCAGCGATGGCACCAGCTGGCTATATCGGGACGCCGGAAGCCACAGCCACTCGGTCTTGGAAGAGTTGAGTCAAAGCCTGTTACTCCCCATCCAGATCCGCACAGCCTCCAGGCACCGGGACATCATTTCAAGGGCATCGTTGGGATGGCCTGGGGTGGAGATGTACAGCTGAGTATCATCAGCTTACTGATGGAACTCCACCCCAAAACCACGGATGATCTCACCCAGCGGCTTCACATAAATGTTGAACAGAAGGGGCGAGAGGACCGACTCCTGCAGCACCCCACAAACAAGGCACCTCAGGATCAATCTCTGCCCCCCTGCCAACACCGACTGCGACTGGTCGGAGAGATAAGAGAAGAACCACCGCAAAACAGTGCCCCGCACTTCCAACCCCTCCAACCGGCGCAGCAGGATACCATGGTCGATGGTATCAAAAGCCGCTGAGAGATCTAACAGGACCAGGATAGAAGAGCAACCCCTATCCCGAGCCCTCCAGAGATCATCCACCAACACGACCAATGCCGTTTCCGTGCTGTACCCACGCCTGAAGCCGGACTGGAGCAGATCCAGATAGACAGCTTCATCCAGGTACCCAGGAAGCTGTCGCGCCACCACACTCTCAACAACCTTCGCCAAGAAGGGAAGGTTGGAGACCAGATGGTAGTTAGCCAAAACAGCCGGATCCAAATATAAGATAACTTATATTGATTCCTCTAGCAAGTTTCCAAAAGTTAAAAAATTAAAATAGGACAAAAAAGTAAAATTCATCAGAATACAGGCATCATGAATGCACATACATGTATAATGATTTCTGTTAAAGTACTGTAAAAGAATGATTTTTGTACACTAAGGTACATAATGTTTTCTAAACATTTTAGTCACAAAGAGTCACAGATGTAACTGATACATGTTTTCTGTTTTTGTCTTCAGATTACTTACAGCTAAAAGACAGGTAAAAGCACAAACAGTCAGTTACTTTTACAGTTTTATGTTACTAATTGTTGTATGAGACATAATATCTATTAGTGTTACTTTTTAAGCCTACAGTTGTACCACTTTGTTCTCCATAGTGATGGAGACAGCAGCAAGGCATGGGTTGTACTCGTCCGTTCAGATTGAAGGACTGAGTCTGTCAGAGCTGTTAAATCCTGCCCTTGTTGCTAGGGGCTTCTAGCTTTTGACTCAGTCCTTCAGACTGGATGGACAATCGGAATTTCCTCATTCCAGATTGCTGTCTTCTTCTGGAATTATATTTCTATAATTTCTTTATCTGGGATTATCACTCAGGACAATCTCTCTTCTTGTGGATTCATGACCTTCGCAGAGGCAGGCTTTGTCTTGCCTGCTGTCTCAGCTCAGCTCTCTGACAAGTATTCCTTCATCTGGTACCTAGGCCTCCGTTGAACAGCAGGTGTTCCAGAGGACCGATGGAGCTTTGCCCTTCTGTGGGAGCTGGGCTTGTGATTGTGGAGCTCCCAAGCAGGCTAGTCAGGCAGCCATTTGTCTTTACACAGAGAGCTGCCCAACATTTTCTACTGTTGGCAGAGCTTCACACTCCCGTTTTGCGCCTACATGCTCATTAGGTGAGAGCCCTGTTTTTTTCTCCGGCTTGGCAGCGGCAGCTACAGTGCTTGATGTACTGTTATTGTTTGGAGTTTCTCCTCTCCAAATTGCTGCCTTTGGAGCTTCGCGCTCCCTTATTCTATGACAGTTGCCATTTTGAGCTTCGCGCTCAAATTTGCTTAGCGCGGTTGTGCTCAGAGCAGAGCTTTGCACTCCCAATTCTGCCTGTCCTTTGCTGCCCATGCTTACAGCAGAGCTTCAAGCTCCCATAGTGGCTGGATACTGACCCTTTGGGATTTCGCCTTTGCACTGTGATCTTGGACTGATGGTGTGCCGGAGACCTTGCACCATTGGCACACAGTGCTGCCATATGGAAGCAGCCATTTTAGAAGAGCCTTCAAGCAGCACCGGTGTTGGTGCTCATTCCTTGCTGCCTATCTATAACTTGTGAGTGGCCTGGGTGATTCTGGCCATTGGAGATATGCCACTGTGCGTGGCCTTGGCAGCTAGCCTTATAATTTTGTTTGTTTGTTTGTTTAAAGGAGATTACAGCTAGGAGCAAGCTTCTCTGTCTCTAGATTTGCCTATCAACCCTTCTACAGGGTTAGTGCACATTTCTCCCTATAACTATGTCTAAGGCGTTTAGCAAATCCAAGCATGGCCGTAAGGCCGAAGCAGCCAGGTTGGCTGAACTGGTCCCAACAGACTCTGGTTCAGGGATGTCTCAGGCCTCCACCAGGAGTAAGGCCACAAGCAGCAAGGGCCTGGGCTCACATCACAAGGCTCACAGTGGCAGCAAAACATCCATTTGTGATGAGAGATGACGGAATCACGGATTGCAAAAAATTTGCAACCAGGCCAGTAAACACGCAACTTTACCTTTGCTGCCCAAAGGGCAGTCTTGTCCTCCTGTCATGACAACTTTCCAGGAGCGATTTCCTGGACTGAACCCAGAACAAGTTTCCCTTCGTGATTGGTCTCTCTCAATTCTGCTGACCAGGTTGTGGGAATCCACGCTCAAGCCACCTCTTCCACATATGGGTGACAGACCTTCCATTCTGGATCAATCCTTGAGACTGATTTCTCCTTCTCGACCAGTGGTAGCTGGAACCCCTATTAATCTTCATCAGAACTTTATCCTTCCTGACAATATACAACAGATTATCACCATGGCTATTCGACAATTGCTGGTGGCGGGATATCAGCAGTCCAAGAGAGAGCCATCTTCGATGTCCATCACACCTGCTTCTCCTGTTCATGACTACCAGGATAAGTTGTTATCCTTTCAGGATCCAGCATCCCCGGCTCCCTCTCACAAAAGTTGCCCATCGTTCCTTGGGGAGCCCTGGGAACCAGATCTGTCTCCCCAGAACAGCCAGCCTTCACTGGCCTTTTTCCATTGGCCATATATAAATCCTTGCTCTTCAAGGCTTCTAACGGACACAGCTTGGTGCTCCTGTTACGGGAGAGGCCCCTCCACCATCTCAAGAGGTGTCAAACCCTTTGTTTTTGGAACCACACAGGCCGATGAACACTATTCCAGCTCCTCATTTATTTCTTGACATCGTCCAGCAGCAGTTTCTTTAACGTGGCTCCAGAACTGGTGGCCTTAGTCCAGATGCCAGCAATGGATGTTCCAATAGCCGCTTTGTTAATGATATCTCTATTCCAGGTGAATCGGATGAAGGGGTGGACCCAGAGAAACGGTAGTTGGACCAGGTCCTTCAATGAGCGCACCAAAGGGTGGCCTGGGCAATTCATTCAGCCACCATGGCATCATTTTTCAACAAAGCAACCCTGCGGTGG